ATATATATATATATATATATATATATATATATATATATACATACATATATATATATATATATATATATATATATGTATGTATGTATGTGTGTATGTGTATGTATACAGGTATATATTAATTCGATTCAATTCAGTTTATTTATATAGCGCCAAATCACAACAAAGTTGTCTCAGGGCACTTTACAGGAACAATCACATACATAAAATTTTTAAAATATTAGGGATGGGGCCGATCCGGTATCGTTCTCTGATACCAGCATAATTTACGTATCGGATTTTTACGATCCATGATGCATGTCTGTGTCTGTGTGAAAATCCATTTCATAGTTTGCAGTAAATACTATTTTTATACAGCTCTGCTGAGCACTGAGCAGCACTGCTGCTAACGGCTAACCAACGTTCCATCGTAACATGTCCGCTGTGTGGAAGTATTTTACACTAAACACCACAAGACGGCAACGTGCACTGTCTGCAGAGCTGCTGTACCGAGAGGAGGAAGCTCGGTCGCGACCTACAATACAATGAACTTAATAAACATTTGAAAAGGCACCACATTAAAGTGCACGAGGATTATTTAGCAAGGCACTGCAGTAAAGTTAGTTTTACATTGGACGTTCGAGAGAGGGATAAAGAGAACACAAATCAACATCATTGAAGTCTGACTCTAGACCTGCGGAAAGAAAAGACAAGACAAAACCGAGAAACCACAACAACAAAAAACATATATAATGATAGTTATAACATCATTAGAAAGTATTTTATGCAGTACATGGTAATACAATATATATTTAGTAGCTTCCACAACCCAACTGAGTGTGTATCTGATAAACATCTGGATCTAAACACCTGTGTGAGCATGTTGTCACTATAAGGTTTCTCCATAAAAATGTTCAATGGACCCATAAACCCGTCCCCGTAGGACACGAAGGTAACACAGGGAAGACCGGAACCACAGACACACAGCGGGCCCCAAGCCCAGAACTCTGGGAGTCCCCCAACAGGGACACCTGCACCCCCCAGAGAGAGGAGCAAAGGGAAGCCCCGGGCGATCCCCAGCAACCACAATGCAGAAACCTCAGAAGGCTGCAGTGACGAGTCCACAGGCCCCGCCGGCAACCCGCCCCTCCAGAGTAGATCCGGCCATGGACACCAAGCCCCGAGGTCATACCACCCCCCAACAGAGGCTCGACAGAGCCAGAGCACCCAGGCCCCGGCAGGCAGCCACCAGGGCGGGGCGCACACACCCCACTACCCAGTCCAGGCTGCTGAGGGCCGCCAATGCACAAGCGGCAGGGGGTCCCACCACCAGAGGGGAGCACGACACACCAAATGGGGGGCCAAAACTGATCCAAGAGAGGGGACCACCTAAAACCCAACCTGAGACATAAACAGGCACACAGAGACAGCCTGACAGAGCCTCTGTCGGGCCGTCCATGCGCCCCACCCAACCGACAGCGACCGCAAGCCGGCCCCAGGCCGGGGGCCAGAGCAGCAGGGAGCAGCAGCTGAGGAAGGTCAGCCCAGCGCACCAATGCATATCTACAGCCCCACACCACAGGCCCCGAGAGGCCCCGGCATGCCACCCATGCACCCCCCCCACACACACACACACAGCACCCCGCACCGTGAATGTCACATCAGGCCGACCAGCCAGCACCCCTTCAAAGTGAAGCCACGCCCCCGACCGCCGCCATGCACCACCAACGACCACACATACACAACCACAGCCGACCCCCCGCCAGAACCCGGCAGCTACCCCAGCCAAAGGGCCGGCCATCGCAACCAGGAACCCTGATCAAAAGATCCAAACAACCCAGGGAGAACCAGAGCACCAGCCCCACCCCCAATTGCCCCCCAAGGCCCAACACCCACCCACAGCCCAGACCCCAACCAGGCAGCTTACCACCCCCCCCTGCCCCCAACCCCAAATGTCAAATGGAGAACGAGGGTTTAAGGACAACAGGAAGACCCAACTCCTCCCTCCCCCCACTCAAATAAGATGTTGATGCATGTTGTTATATAGTGCATTTAAAATGGGGGGGGGGGGGTGAGGCGGCGACTGGCACAGACCCACCCCCTCCCCAGAGAGCAGGCAGTGCTCATTAACCTCCCCAACCCTTGCCCAGAACCCTAAATGTCTACATGCTACATATGAGAGTGGGCGCAAGTCCCAGAGGTGAGAATGATTACACATCCCACCCCCTATATGCCACCGTGTGCCCACTCCAGACCCTATATATGCATGTGTTGTGAGAATGTTATATACGAGTGTCTAGGTTGTTTAATAAAATTGGGGCCCAGGTCTCCACGAACCACTGAGATGGAGGATCCTCCCCGCAGCTCAGTAGTGCACCTGAACCCCAAGGCCCTGCTTGAGTGGTGGTGTGATGGAGTGGGCGGAGGAAGATGTTGGGATGGGGAGGAACAACTGAGGTGGCAATGCCCTCCCAGGGGGCCAGCTCCCCCACTGACCCCAATAGGCACCCCCATTCTCCAAGATCCACCAGGGGAGGGAGGCTCCAGTACATCCATCTAGGAGCAGGAGGCAGCTGCACCACCAGGGACCCAGGCCACAGACTGGCACTTAGCCCCGAGGACCGACCAGAACCTGGGCCAGCGACCCAATCCTCCACCCCCCATGTGGTACATGTGGTGAAACAAGATTATGTACACAGGGTCCCAGTTACAACCAACAATAAAATGTAAAAGAAAAACAGTAATAACATCTAAGATATGAACTAAGAAAAACATCAACTAAATATACACTAAGCACTAGTAGCACAAAAACAATATGCCGAACAGCAGCACGAACATGAGGCTGTGTGAGCAGATGAACATGCATGAACACAGCAACATGAAACAGATCAGCAGCAACATGAAACAGATCAGCAACAACATGAAACAGATCAGCAGCAACACGACATGGTTTTTCACAGAGATTATTCTAGTTAGAGATTCATGAGTCTAACAGTCTCAGGGTAGAAGCTGTTCCTCAGTCTAGTGGTTCTACACTTAATGCTCCTCAACCTCCTTCCTGAGGGGAGTGGGGCAAAAAGTGTGTGTGCTAGGTGAGTGTGGTCCTTCATGATGCAGGTGGCCCTCTTCCTGCATCTGGAGGTGTAGATGTCTGTGATGGTGGGGAGGCTGATTCCGACAGATTTCTGTGCAGCCTTCACCACTCTCTGCAAAGCTTTTCTTTCTGCAGC